GCTATGCAAATGAATATAGGCGTTAGTAAAGCAATAACGAGAAATGCAATCAGGTGCATATGAAATTACTGATATTTACAAGTGTAACTAATGAATAAAGGAGAATCATGCTGAGAAAATAAAATAATCTCACGAGCATCGCAGGATAATCCATTTATAGATAACTCAATGAATAATGTACAGCATTATTTTATCGAGTACATGGAATAGGATTTTATTATTACAGGGAAGTAAAATTAATAGAATTCATGAAAATTTAAGATATGATTTTGAAAAGAAATAAATGCAATGCAATGAAGATAAAATTAGTTCTCTGGTTGATATATAGAAGAAAAATGATACTCTGATCGGAGTATTATCGAACGTGCTAGTAGTGTGCCTAAAATGAGATTGAACTCTAAATCAAGAACTGGTTTTATTACACCTAGTATCTTAGTAGTTTGTCATCCAAAAACTTAAGTCATAATTAGGCTAATAACCCTAAAAGTAGTGATACAAAAGGAGGAAGTTGATGTTGCAGTCAGTTCTGATTCAGAGGTGAAATATTCAAATTAGACTTTTGGGGTCTAATTTATCCACAATAGATGAGAAGCTCGGCAAAAGCCTCTATGCGTCTTATGTCTATAATTGGATCTTGGGTGGTATTTAAATAAAACCTCGGGTTTTAGTATAAAACGCTTATACTAGTGCTAACTGGAGGTCAAAAGCTCAGTGCCAGTCAAGTATAAATTCATTAATGTAGTAGCGGGTACGAGATACTTGGCCAAATGTTTTTAACAGAGTACTGGGACAAAATACATTTAAAATACAATAAGACGCTTTGAAACGAGTTGATATTGAAAAAAATCCAGTCATCTATCAGTCTGTAAATCCAAGACTCGAGCTGTTATAAGCTTATGGATAAATAGGAGGGCTTGCTAACCTGATTAGTCCACCTCACAACTTTAAGATAGTGACTACACGGATGAAAAATAAAAGATAATCGCTGAAATTAAGTGAAGCAACCTATCATGAGCCTATTATCTGTTATGCAATCCTTAAAGAATAAATTACTATATAATAGCTTGAGAGATATAATCTAAATGAAACTTTTCCCAAAAGTAACGTCACATGTAAAATGGTGGTGTCGAGAGTATATGCTGCAATATCACGGTTCGAGTCCCACTGGAGGCGCTGAGAGGACCCATGCTAGGTCGAAATTGTAGTTCACCCTGAATGATAATACCTTTTGGGAAACAAGGCCATGTAAGATTCACTGGAAATGTAAGGTATATTTGTCAAATTGTGGGAAAATGCAACTATCAGTTCTTCATCACCTTAACGAAATAGAGCGAATACATCACCTATATAATAGTTATATATGTCTTTAAAATTGTGCCAAAACCTGAATATAGATTAATCTTTTCTCCTCATTATAGGAAGCGTCACCAAATTTGAGATATAGTGAATTCGTTGTAATTTCTAAAAAATCTTACCTTAACAGAGTATTTTCCTAATTCAAGATGAAAGAAATGCCTGTTCCTCCCATCTGAAGTCATGCTGCCCTTAAGCTCTGATTCAGGTAGGCAGCTACGATTGAGACATTCAGATAAGAGAGCGTAGGGTGCAGGAAGACCCATTCTAGAGGAGAGAAGATAAATACGACTGTCTGTAGGCCTCAATGCATCGAAGAAACTCATTTCCTTCTCTCCGGCCGAAGGCACCGAGCTAGAATTTCCTGTGCTCGAGAAAGTGTCACCAGTGGACGCTCCAGGCCCATTATGGTTATTGTCTGAGGAAGAGATTATCTTAGCGAAGTCCGGAATGACCTGTTCCAGTGCTCTTTTGGCTGTAAAAACCACAGAATGATAAACAATAGTTTAACGAACAAAAAATCTAATCAACTACATGTAAAAGCCTGAAGAGTATTTCTACTTTTAGCCCGCTAATTATATATCCCATGCCGTATAGATGATTTTACCATATCTTGTAGGCACCTTAAGAGCTAAGAGATAAATATAATTTATACAGCTCCTGCAAGCGAATTTTGTGATCCTAGGCTTGATAGTTGAGTTATATAAGATGAAATGA